GGGGCGTTTAATTCCCGCCCATGTGTAGAAATCCAATATTCAAGCCGTTTATTCATTTTTTTCTACCCCTGAGCGCAAAAATAAAATTTAAGCTGAATTCTCTTTTTTCAATTTTTGGAAAAAAAACGAAAAAGGAGCCGTTTTCTAATTTTTCTACTTTCAATATTAAATCAAAAAACGAATGATCAAATGATACACGGATTCATAACGCTAAGACATTTCCATTCCAAAAAATGGAACCTCTAAAGGAAATAGACATGAGATGGGAGGAAAAATATACATTACTTCAGTATCTTCTGTCGCAATTATATCGTTGGGCAGTTATACTGTATATAAACTGCGGACATCAGGGAGCCGTTAATATGCGGGGCATTTAAATCGCTTTTGAACGCGTGCTTGTTTTTTGCTTTCGAGATTCGCGATCTCACACAAGTACGGAGCAATCGGCAGTACTTGCCACACATTTTACAAGATTAGATGTTTGTCAGTGATGCTCAAAATCTGCAAATCATTCGCCATCATCCTATCAGTCAGCTCTCCTTCAGGGCTCGCAAAATCGCTAGCCCGACGTCCCGGGGCTATTGTGTTTTCCAGTCAGGCTACCAAAATGTATCACTGCCCTGCCCGACGGGCTATCTTGAATAGTGATATAAAATCCCTTCCTTAATTTGCATTGTTCACTCGCTTGTAGGCATCATAGTTTATCATTTACACGTGTTTCTAAGTCGTACCAATTTAAACATTCAAGCGTTTTAAACCATTAATGCGCATGAAGAATTCAGTTCGGTGCTCGCGCGCACATACAGAGCGGCGTTTCAGGCAGAGCACGAACACCGAATTGATTCCTCTTTCGCTTGAACGGACACATACATGCAAAATTATCTCAAAATAACTATCTCGGCAAGTATTACTTGAATGTAAACAGAGGAGAAAGAAATCTCACCTGCATCGTTATATTGGATCCGTACATTCGGTCTTAAAGGGGCAGCAGCCTATAAACACCTGCTGTTCCATAAGCGCCACCTGCTGTCAGAGAGGGACATTTGCGTCTCATTCAACCTCTGCTGTTTTTTTATGCAGTATCACAAAGCTAAAGTCAGACCATTTTGTTTTTGTTTCAAATTTAAAAATTTTACAATCTAAATAACATGTATGCAGCATCTTTATTTGGATCGTGATTAAAATACACAGGCAAAACCTTAGTTTACTTGCATGAAAACATTTATTTTATTTGTATTATTTCTTTATTTGATTTGGGATTTGTTTTAAAATTTCCAGTTAGTATATTGTTTGATATTTTCAATTTCACAAAGTAATGTGGAGCCTTTTGGTCTGAGAAATAACAAATGGACACCTTTTTTAAAATCGGTCTTAAATCTCATTTTGTTAAAAAAGAAATTGTGAGAATTGTATTGTGAAATCAGTATCGTGAATCATATCACATCGTGAGTTGAGAGAATTATTGCATATGCTACTAGTTGTTGCTGTGGTATAGAAGTAGTAAATTATTTAAATAAGTGTTACTTAAATAATAAAGAACCATATGTTATTGGTTTGATCCGATCTGTGACTCAAAATGTGATATGATAATGTAATATAATCCGAACCATGAGATTTGTGATCCATTGCACCTCTACTCTCTTGAATTGTTATTTGAAGAAAAAATACAATATATTTTATTCAGGCTAGTTAAATAAATTTTTGGGCTACCAAAATCTGAAGAATGCCTGCCCCAGGGGCTATCAGGGATTTAGTTTTTTTTACTCTGTTTTTGTGGTAAGTGAAATGTTATGTACTGTAATGTAACCGGCTACCGCTAGCAAGCGGCTAACCATGTCTCTTTAGTGGCTCCATAGTGCTGGGGGGTGGGGGGGTGGCCATAGAGGCTATTTACACTAAGTGCAAATAGCTATAGATTATATTTATACTATGTTAAAATAACAGGATATTCTGCTAATTACTTATTGCAAATAGTGGCAATTATCTGCACCTCAGCATTGTAATACATTATAAAACAGTATGCAATAATAACTTATTGAGTGTTAATTTTATTTATAATTAAAATTATTAAATGGATGCCACCTTATTGGGACAAACGCCCTAGACCTTAACCTTACCCGATACTTTTTCAACTTTTTGATTATTTCCTTCATTTTTATTAAAAATAAATGCTTTTCTGATGTGATTTAATATTTGAAAAGGGAGAAAAAAAGTTTGCCAAAAGGCAGATTCGGGTCGATCACGTCAAAAGTACCCCCACTTCCCGCGCCTATGCCGTATAATGCGTTCTTTGTTTTCCGCGCTTTTCTGAACACAGATTCAGCCACACCCCTAACCCAGTCGGGGGTATTTGTGGTCCTCACAGAACTCCTATTTGACATCGTCCCAAGTTACTGTAACCGTTATATGCTACGCAAGTCTTTTTGTTTTATGCCACTTAAGTCTACAGTGTGGGTGTGAGACAATGTGTTCTTCTGTTGTCTTTGACAGCTTTTAGGTGTGTTATTGGCAGCGCCACCCTCTGCTTACATTAAATTTTTAAGACAATAATTGCTCAACCTATTCAATATTCTATAGTGACCCATCCCTAATATATATATACACACTTCTGAAGCGTCCCATTAGCGGCTCCCCATGCTACATCACTGAAGATAGGCACCTAGTCTGTTTTTGATGGATAATAATAATAATAGTAATTATAATAATAATCGTCTTGCTGTCATCAAAGGCATCAGCAACAGGCGATATCTCTGACTGGCATCGATACACGATACTATCATCTATCTGCACAACCCTAAATTGAAGGTCGTGATGATGCTTCGTTTCCTTGCCATAATGTGTCATCTTAAATTCTTTGTCAAATGTGTGTTGAATGCAAACTTCTCTTAGGAATTTCACCATTCAATGTGGATTTATCTGAGGATATTCTTAAATAAGGAAATCTTATTCAGTGATTGATCCATGCCTATGTTGTCATCTAAAATCCCGTTTATGGCACAGCAAAGTGTCGTGAATCATCTCTAAGGCTGATGATACATGGGGCAACTTTTTGGAAGATTTTGCCATCAACGGGCAACCAGGTGAGACACAGGGCCCACAACTGATCTTAAGTATCCAGATAGAAATGTGTTACCCATTCTCAGTGGGAAAGTGCCCAAGCAACATTGTTCGAAAATAAAAAAGTTGCCCGGCAAATTTGCGCAAAACGCTGCCCAGTGTATCATCAGCCTAAGACTGACACTTAAGATTTAGTCCTACACTTCATTTAAATTATGACTGAGATGCTTGATATCTACAGTGGTGGCCAAAATTGTTAGAACACTTGGCATATTTAAGAGGTTTCCGTTTTTGTTGAACTGGCTATTACAATACCCATAAAGCGAGCTATTGCCGGAACTACCTGCGGTGGACGGAATCTGCTGAACACTGAAAATGATGGACTGGCCCATTAAAGTCCGGACCTCAACCCCATCGAGCAAATTTAGGGCAAGTTGGAAAATAAACTGGACAGATCTATTGTAGATTCAAAGGAAAGCCTTTGTCTTGAGTTGCAGAAGGCATGGGATAGCATTAGTGTTGAAGTTCTCAGGAAACATGTTGACACTGCCAAAGAGATGTGCTGCTGTAATTGCTGCAAAAGGTGGACATAACAAATATTTAGGGCTGCCCTCAACTAAACATTTATCTGGTCAACTAGTATTCGTTCATTTTAAGCATTAGTCGAGTATTAGTAACATGCTTATTAATAAACCATATAAATCATCATAATGAGCCTTAATTGCCTACATAGCCCAATAAGTGCTCAAGCGCACTCAAAAATAGCTTGCCACAGCGCACATGCAGATATAATAATTATGAATGTGTCAGAAAAACAGCAAGGAGGCTGCATTAACATTTTAATAATTTATTGATAAACTAGCGCTTTGTTTTCGATTTAAGAGATGAAGTCGACGATACTGACTCATCATCTCCGCAGTAGAGGATGCACCTGTATGTTTCATAGGGATTACATAATCTGAGAATATTTGTTTTCTATTTGAATTGGTTCATTTGAAAGTAGATATTTCACTCTCTATAATATATTTGTCATGTCTGTAAGCAAGTATACATAGTTTCGGAGTTTCGCGGAGTTTGGATGTCCTGCCCGATGTACAATATTACCTCATAGACCAGCTGTTAACGATCTGTCCGTCATGCATTGCGTAGCTTCGCCACTTCCAGTCTATTTTTTTTTCTGCGACTAATAAATTTTGGTCGACCAAGCCTCTTCTCGTCGACTAACGGTTAGTCGACTATTAGGGGGCAGCCCTACAAATATTAAAGTTAAAAGTGAGCACAACAGATATCAGATGAAGAGAGTTGTACTGTTTTTATCCAGAGCAACCATCTGCATGTTTGTTTCATGAACATTATGAAATTAAATCATGATTTGGAGGCAAAAAAATAAATTTTCGGATCTTTCAGGTGTTCTAACAATTTTGGCCACCACTGTGACTTTTAGGTGCAGCTTTGAGCCAAGAATTTATTTTACTCTTAAGTCAATTCTTAGCATTGTTCCTGTGAGTAATTCTCAGAGGCTTGATAAATATGGGCCCAGATTCCAGAAAATCACTGGCAGAGTGAATGAACCAAAATCAAACGATTCCAGGACACATTATCTGTGTATTTTCCGGAATCGCTGTGTGAAAGAGGCTTAAGAAATCCACATCTGCGGTCAAAAAAAACAATATCAGTCGACCGCTAGTCTTCATCTGACATTTCAGCAAGAACTAAAAAATGGTCTTTGTTTCTTGTTATGCAAAAAAAGTATGTTTTCGGAGACTAATGATGATTGATTGTTTGGTAACAGGCTCTTACAGAAGTAAGGATGCATCACTTTGATTCTGGAGAATCGCCCTGCGCTCTACTTGAATGTTCTGATTTCATCAAGGTGGCACTGCGCCAGAAACGTCAGGAAACCACTGTTCTAGCTTTTGTTTATTCATTTTTTTATTTTTTAGGCAATATGACAAAATCCACCAGAAGCGGGAGGAAATTGTGAAAATGATAGAAGAAAACAACCGTGAAACTAAAAAGTTGAGGGAGAAGATGCAGGAGCTTGGAGAAAAGTGCAACCGGCAAACTCAAAAAGCCCAGGTGCACTTTCTTTTAAGCAATTCTTAAGTAAATGTAGTGCTTGCTTATATTGTATTAACATTATGACAGTTGTTTTTATTACAATGTTACAATCTTTAAAAAGTCTTCTGTTTGTTCTTTAGCATTTTCATGTAAATGGGCTAGTTTAATGTTAAAGCTGTTCAATGTTTTGTGTAATGATATCTATTACTTTTCTTCCACAGGAATTCTATGAACATCTTCTCACAACTGTGGAGCATTACGACAAGCGGATTGAGAGCATTGTGGTGGAGACCAATGCAGACACTTTAAAAATGAAATCACATTTCTAGAATTTCTATTTTATGCTCTTCACTGTTACTTCAAATTGCTGCATTTGTACGCTGTCTGTTGTTTTGTCATTTCTAAATGTATTTTTCCACAATAAAATTATATGTGAATGTTAGGTGGCAAGAAGTTACTTATTGGTCTACTTATACAGGGAATAGATTTAACTCCTAACACCAGTATTCTTTAATAAAACACATTTATTGGGAACATTTGAGTCTTGCCTGTTCAAGTGAAGCGTTAATGGATTTGTTTGAAAAGGTTTGGATTCAGGGTATCAGGTGTAAAGCTGAATGTTAAAAACTGTGTGTTGGTCTGCGAGGTAGGCCTGTGCGATAAAACGGTATAGATATTTACTGACAGTACTCCATCCATAACGATATAAAAAAATGCTCGATATAGTGCACGATATAGGCATGTGCTATGAGTGACGCAGACAGCACACAAACACGAACATGAGTGCTGTGCCTACCTGTGATGAGGAGATAAATGATGAATAAAAAAAGTAATATTAGTCGAATTTAAAATGAAAAAAAAAATTGCATTTGAATGCAAAAATGGTACAGTCGGATGTTAGGTGTGCATCCGGGAGCGTCATCAGTGGTGCGCGAGATGCGGTGATGATGTATGGAGTGAAAACGGTATCAAATCTTCCCACAAATGCAAGCGAGAGATCCGCACACGGCAATCCAGGCAAGTGCATTGTTTCTTTGCTCACAGAATGATCCTCAAATACTGTCTCTGTACCCTTTATTTCATGCACAACGAGTCCTTTGCATTAGTGTTCTGCCTACTGCTTCCAGCTTCGCTACCGTTTGGACGTTCTTGCTTACTGCTCTGCGCTTTGCTCCCTATTTCTGTACTTTTCTCAGATTTTTCTAAGATTTTTACTTCAGCAGATCAGCACAGTCCTCAAACAACACATTTTTTGGCACAAACACTAAAACTAAAAACTCTCTGGGACTGGAATAATACCACGAAAAAGAAGACTTTACCTCCCACTGCCAGCAGCTTACATTCCGGAGACGGGAAAACATAGCTGCCCACATTCAAGCAGAAGAGAAGGAAAATGTCTCCTGTTGAATCTACTTGCTGCATGAACTGCTACAAACTTCTACAAAGGATTGCAGTTCTTGAAACAAAGTTACTTGCTGGACTTCCAAAACAGGCAGAACTCTCAGCAGATCGTCATCATGGACCCCCTCAGCATACAGCTGGTGAGTCCCATGAATCTAGTCAATCTCAACGGTTTATACCAAGTGTAAACAAGGAACGAGCCAAAACTGATTGTCACACTAATCGATGGCACAAACAGGGAGCGAGACCCAAAGGCAGTAGAGACATCAGATTGTCACGAGTTTCTCGTATTGCTGCCATAGCATCCTCTACCACAGATACGGCTATGACAAGGCTTGTAAATACTGGTATTCTACGATCCCCTATACATCTTGAGAACCAGAGTATGTGAGCGGAGCGGCTTGATTTTGCCTGGAGCTAGGAGTGGGTTTTTAAAAATTCTGAGCATTGAGGTTTTCACTCGCTCCGAGAACGCTCCGCTACCGCTCCGTCACGAGCACAAATTTGCCAACTCACGCATTAAACATAATTAGTTAGCTTGACAGATATGTGGATCACATATGAAGGTTAAAATGACGATGGACGAGTGCGGGAGGTTAAAGCATGCTGTAAATTGTACAGTTTGTTAATCTCCGCTCGAACCTAATGTGTTGCTACATTGCTGCACACGGACAGAACACACAAGCTCGCACATAACGTACAGGTCGCGTGCATACATTCAGGGATGAAGAAAATTTGGTCAATGCTGTCCTGTGATTTATCAGGTTAAAAACTGAAAAGTTACAGCATATTCTTTCTGTTTCTGAAGTAACTACCCTCAGCTTCGCCATAGTAGAGAGACATTGCACAGGCAAGTAAGCTAAGCGAGTTATAGGCCTAAGTCATTTAATATGGACTTGGGCTAATTGTAGTGTTCCAATAAACCATGTTAAAACTATTCTTCTAGTATTATGCATTTATTTTTCGTTTAATATAATTTCTGAACAGAACTTTGATTTTTCAAGCATAGTGAAATAATTTAGTCACAGAGCGGTGTTTCTGATCAGTGGAGCGGGAGCGGGAAATGGTGAACCTGGAGCGGAGTGATTATTGAATGCTTGGAGCGCGGAGGGGAAATTGTTGCCGCTCCACTCCGCTCACATACTCTGTTGAGAACAGATTGGAAGAATTAATCAGAAAGAGCTTTATTGCCAAGTATGTTTGCACATACAAGGAATTTGTTATAGTGTCACAAGCTTCCAGTACACGGAGACAACAACAACACAAAGATAATAAAAATGAGATGTGAATAAAATAAAATACACATGCATAAATATAAACCACAAAAAAAGAATAAATTGTATGTACAGGTGTGGTATAGATGGAATAGGAATAGAATAAAATAAAATAAGTTGTAGGGATGTACTAGGGTTTAGGGTGATAAATAAGTATAAGGTTATTGCACATACTGTACTTTAATTGCACAATGGGAGAACATTAACTGTTCATGAGGTAGATTGCCTGGGGAAAGAAACTGTTCTTGTGCCTGGCTGTCCTGGTATTCGGTGCTCTGTAACGCCGACCAGATGGCAAAAGTTCAAAAAGGAGATGGCTTGGATGTGATGGATCCAGAGTGATTTTCTGAGCCCTTTTCCTCACTCTGGATGTAAGTTCTTGGAGGGTAGGCAGGGGGGCACCAATAATCCTTTCAGCAGTCCGAACCGTTCTCTGTAGTCTTCTGATGTCTGATTTTGTAGCTGAACCAAACCAGACAGTTATTGAAGTGCACAGAACAGACTCGATGACGGCTGAGTAGAACTGTTTCAGCAGCTCCTGTGGCAGGTTGAATTTCCTCAGCTGGCGAAGGAAGTACAACCTCTGCTGGGCCTTTTTAACAATGGAGTCAATGTGAGTGTCCCACTTCAGGTCCTGAGAGATGGTGGTGCCCAGGAACCTGAATGACTCCACTGTCGTTACAGTGCTATCCATGATGGTGAGTGGGGGGAGTGCAGGGGGGTTCCTCCTGAAGTCCACGATCATCTCCACTGTTTTGAGGGTGTTCAGCTCCAAGTTGTTAAGACTGCACCAGACAGCCAGCTCTTTAACCTCCTGTCTGTAAGCAGACTCGTCTCCATCCTTGATGAGACCGATGACTGTAGTGTCATCTGCATACTTCAGGAGCTTGACAGAGGGGTCTTTAGAGGTGCAGTCATTGGTGTAGAGGGAGAAGAGCAGTGGGGAGAGGACGCAACCCTGAGGGGTGCCAGTGCTGGTGGTGCGGTTGTTGGATGTGAATTTACCAATTCTCACTAGCTGTTGCCTATCTGTCAGAAAGCTGGTGATCCATTGACAGATAGAGCTAGGGACAGAGAGCTGGGTTAGTTTGGTCTGGAGGAGTGTTGGGATGATGGTGTTGAAAGCAGAGCTAAAGTCCACAAACAGGATCCTCACATAAGTCCCTGTTTTGTCCAGATGTTGCAGGATGAAGTGCAGTCCCATATTGACTGCATCATCCACGGACCTGTTTGCTCGGTAAGCAAACTGCAGGGGGTCTAGTAAGGGTCCAGTAATGTCCTTCAGATAAGCCAACACCAACCTCTCAAATGTCTTCATGACCACAGACGTTAGGGCCACAGGTCTGTAGTCATTAAGTCCTGTTATCTTAGGTTTCTTTGGGATGGGGATGATGGTGGAGCGTTTGAAGCAGGCAGGGACTTTGCACAGCTCCAGTGATCTGTTGAAGATCTGTGAGAAGATGGGGGCCAGTTGGTCAGCGCAGGTTTTCAGACAGGCTGGTGTCACACCGTCTGGGCCTGGTGCTTTTCTTCTCTTGTTCTTCCTGAAGACCTGGCGCACATCATCCTCACTGATCTGAAACGTAGGAGTGGGGGAGAGGGGGGTTGCAGGAGGTGTTGATGGTTGTGTGGAGAGATGTTCAGAGCGGGTGTGGGGTGTTAGACTGGGAGTTTCAAATCTACAGTAAAACCCATTCAGGTCTTCAGCAAGTTGTTGATTGGCCTCAGTGCTGGGGGATGGTGTCTTGTAGTTGGTGATGTCCTTCAGGCCTTTCCACACTGATGCAGGCTCATTCGCAGAAAACTGGTGTTCTAGTTTTTTAGCGTAGTTCCTCTTGGCCACTCTAATCTCCTTATTCAGTGTGTTTCTGGCCTGATTGTACAAGACTCTGTCCCCCCTTTTGTAGGCGTCCTCTTTGGCCTGACGAAGATGACGAAGTTTTGCTGTAAACCATGGCTTATCATTGTTGAATGTTAAATGAGTCCTGGTAGGGATGCACATGTCTTCACAGAAACTGATATATGATGTTACAGATTCTGTGAGCTCGTCCAGATCGTTGGTGGCTGCTTCAAAAACACTCCAATCAGTGCAGTCGAAACAGGCTTGCAATGCCTGCTCTGTTTCGTTGGTCCACCTCTTTACAGACTTTACTACAGGTTTAGCAGATTTAAGTTTATGCCTGTAGGTCGGTATAAGATGAACCAGGCAGTGGTCAGAGAGTCCTACAGCTGCTCTGGGGACCGAGCGATATGCATCCTTTATTGTGGAGTAACAATGGTCCAGTATACTACTGTCTCTGGTGGGACATGTAATATGCTGTCTGTATTTTGGCAGTTCACGGGAAAGATTTGCTTTATTAAAGTCCCCGAGAATGATTAAAACAGAGTCCGGGTGTTGTTGCTCTGTCTCTGTGATCAGATCAGCGAGTTTCTGTAAAGCTGAGCTCACGTGTGCTTGCGGAGGGATGTAAATACTCACGAGAATGAACGAGTGAAACTCCCGCGGCGAATAGAACGGCTTACAGTTAATGAAAAGCACTTCTAGATCGGAACAGCACATCTTCTTTAATGCTGTAACATCTGTACACCACCTTTCGTTGATGTAAAAACATGTCCCGCCGCCGCGCGATTTCCCCTTTGATTCTGCATCGCGATCTGCTCTAAACAGCTGAAAGCCCGGGAGACTCAACGCGCTGTCCGGAATGGCATCATTCAGCCAGGTTTCCGTGAAACACAGAGCAGCAGAGCGTG